AGGTCCCTGTGGGAGCCTGAACTATGTGTTCAGAATTTCATGTTTCCTGATGGCAAACTTAGTTATGTTCACCTGAAAATACTTTGCACTTACTCTTGAAAAACATATTCAGTCGGTATAGAATTCTAGATTGGTAGTTAATGTCTTCAGCACACAAAATGTATCATTACACTGGCTTCTGATTTCCGTTATCTTATTTAAGTCAGATGTCCCTCTAATGCATGTTCCTTTGAAGACAATGTCCTTTTTGTCTGTAGCTGTTTTTAAGATTCTGTATTTGTCGCTTGTGTTCTTTAGCTTTTTTTTTTTTAAGTGGGACAGATCGTTATTTTATAGATGTTTGCTGTCTGTATAGAAGAAAGATCTCTTCAGTAATCCAGGGTATTTTTTTCAGAGGATAGTATGCTTTTAACCTTTTCAGGACTATGTTAAAACGGTCTGCTAATGAAATTGAAACTTGTATATTTACTCTTTAGGAAACAAAATTACTATTGATTTATAACATTAGATAAGTTTCATATATTGAACATTGTGTTTCTACTTCTGTACACCCTACCATGTACTCACTACCTCAAATTTATTTTCCATCTGTAACCATACACTTGACCCCTTTTTCCCAATTCCCCACCCCTTCTCCTCTGGTAACCACTAGTCTGTTCTCCATACCTATGTATTTGTTTTTGTTTGGTTTGGTTTGATTTGTTCATTATTTTATTTTTGTCTGTTAGTTTTTTATATTTCACGTAAGTCAAATCATACGGCATTTGTTTTTCTCCGTCTGACTTACTTTACTTAGCAGAAAATGCTTGAGGTCCATCCGTGTTGTTACAAATGGCAAGACATCATCTTTGTCTTATAGCTGAGCAGTATTCCATTGTACATACACATCTTATTTATTCATTCCTCTGTTGATGGGCACTTGGGTTGTTTCCATATCTTGGCTATTGTAAATAATGCCACAAAACATGGGAGTGCAGATACCTTTTCAGATGAGTGTTTTCATATTCTTTGAATAAATGCCCGGAAGAGGGATAGCTGGATCATTTGGCAGTTCTATTCTTAATTTTTTTTTTGAGGAATCTCCAAATTTAATGAAACGTAGCAAAGCACGGATAAAAAAGAAGTGCAAAGAACCACAAAGTAGGATAAACAAGAATAAATCCACATATAAACATACTAGAACTGACGAAAATGGTTTTAGACTTCAGAAACATGGTAGAGGAGAAGAAACTACCATTGTCTCTCCCCTTCAATCTGCATTCAGTAAAGCATCCACAAGTTAACAAAGGTGTCTCAACACAACAGGACACTTCTTCCACAGTGGCTGCATCAGTGTACATCCCCACCAACACTGCATATGAGGGTTCCATTTTCTCCACACCCTCACCAATACTTATTATTTCTTGCCTTATTGGTAATAGCCATTCTGACAGGTGTGAGGTGCTATCTTATCATGGTTTTGTTGTGCATTTCCCTGTTAGTGATGTTGAACACCTTTTCATGTTCCTGTTGGCCATATGTATGTCTTCATTGGAAAAATGTCTATTTGTTCCTTTGTGCATTTTTTAACAAGATTGTTTGTTTTTGTTGTTTTTGTATGTTTTGGATATTAACCCCTTATCAAATATATCATTTGCAAATATCTTCTCTCATTTGATAGATTGTCTTTTCATTTTATTGATGGCTTCCTTTGCTGTGCAAAAGCTTTTTAGTTTGATATAGTTCTATTTGTTTATTTCTGATTTTTTTCCCATTGCCTGAAGAGACATATAGAGAGAGATTGCTAAGACTGATGTCATAGGTCATACTGCCTATTTTTCTTCTAGGATTTTAATGGTTTTAGGCCTCACATTCAAGTCTTTAGTCCATTTCAAGTTAATTTTTGTGTATGGTGTGAGATAGTGGTCTAGTTTCATTTTTCCGCCTGTGTCTATCTAGTCTTCCCAACAGTATGTACTGAGGAGACCATCCTTTCTCCATTGTATGTTCTTTGCTCCTTTGTTGTAAGTTAGTTGTCCGTATGTGTGTGGCTTGCTTTCTGGCTCTCATTTCTGTTCCATTGATCTATGTGTTTGCTTTTCTGCCAGGACTAAGGTGTTTCGATTACTGTAGATTTGTAGTATAGTTTGAAATTAGGGAGTGTGATGCCTCCCTTTAGCTTTGTTCTTTTTACTCAAGATTGATTTGGCTATTCAGGATCTTTTGTGATCCCATATGAATTTTAGAATTTTTTGTTCTATTTTTGTGAAAAACATCCTTGGGATTTTGATAGCGTAATGGAGTTCCTGTGTAGGTTCCTTTTTTCCCTAGCTGTCTTTAAAATACTGCCATTGACTGTAGACAGTTTTAATATTATGTCTTGGAGAATGTCTTTGCGTAGAGGTAACCAGGTATTCTCTTAGCTTCACAGGCTTCTATATCCAGTTCTTTCCCCAGGTTTGTATTATTTCTCTAAGTAATCTCTCTGCTCTCTTCTCCTTCTCTTCTTCTTCTGGGATACTATTATTCTAATGTTGCATGCGCTAAAAGAGCTGGATAGCTCTTGTAGGATTTCCTCATTTTTTGAATACCTTATTTCTCTTGTCTCTTCTACTTGTATCACTTCTAGATTTCTGTCTTCAGGATCACTAATTCTCTCTTCAGTGTGATCACTTTATTCCCAATGCTTTCTACCGCATTCTTTATCTCATTTATGGAGTTCTTTAGTTCCGAATTTCTGTTTTGTTCTTTTTTAGAGTTTTAATCTCTTTGCTAAAGTATTCCTTCTGTTCATTAATTTCATTTCTGAGCTCAATAAACTGCCTTTTTCTTTTAGTTCATTGAGTTTCTTCTTGACAGCTGTTTTGAATTCTTCATCAGTTGAATCACAATATTCTGTGACTTCATTTGGTTTCTGGAGAATTGTCATTTTCTTTTTTGTGGTGTTACTGTGGTTCTTCATGTTGTTTGATGATGAATTATTTCTCTGCTGGTAGATTTGATTTTAAATGACAGGTTAGGAGTTAAAATTCCTTTATTTCATTTTCTGGCAGGTGGTACCATCATGCAAGTTTTTGGTTTCCCTTACCTGAGCTGCCTCTGGTTATATTTGAGGGTGGCACTTTCCAGCCTCCACCTTCTCTGTAAGAGGTGTGGCTCTGTGCCTTCATTGTTGCTTTTTGTGCCACCAGGGTCACAGCTGCCTACTTCTGCCAGGGCTGCTGTCATCACCAGGTTAGTGGGCTCTTTCCTTGTGCCTGGGATCCCCTGAGACAGGCTCTGCTGTGAGGGGAGGAGGAGGAAGGTGGGCAGGCCCGTGTCATGGGTGCCTCAGAGGCTGGAGGACACAGAGCAGAGGCCCCACTGCTGCCGCTGCCTGCTTACCTGTGGCCATGGCTGCCAGATGTGGTCAGGTGGCCAGAGTTGTATGCACCGCCTTTCCTGCTGCTGCTGGGTGCTCTGAAGCTGTGGGCTCTGCTGGCTCAGTCAGAGGTCTGGGGTCACGGGCACTGACTGCTGCTTGCTCGTCCCCTCTTTGTGTTCCAGCCCCTCCACCGTTGGATGAACAGATGTGTGGAATTCTCCAGTGTCCTGTTGTGTTGAGACACCTTTGTTAACTTGTGGACGCTTTACTGAATGCAGATTGAAGGGGAGAGACAATGGTAGTTTCTTCTCCTCTACCATGTTTCTGAAGTCTAAAACCATTTTCTTCAGTTCTAGTATGTTTATATGTGGATTTATTCTTGTTTATCCTACTTTGTGGTTCTTTGGACTTCTTTTTTATCCATGCTCTGCTACTTTTCATTAAATTTGGCTGATTCCTAGCCATTATCTCTTCAATCATTGTCTCTACTCCATATTTACAGTTATATTCTCTCTGTTTCTGCCTCTCTTTTTCTGGGACCAAAATTAAAAGTGTGTTAAACCTTCTCAACTTACCTTTCATATCTTCTGCTTTACTGATTTATTCTTTAATTCTATTAATCTATTAGGTTTTAAAATTTTGGTTATTATATTTTCACTTTCTAAAAGTTCTCTTGGTTTTTTAATTCTGATAGATCAATTTGTAATGGATTGCAGATCTCTGCAGAAGCTTTCAAATTAATGTCGTTTCTTTGTTTTTACTTTAAGTGTAAAACTTATAATTCATCTAGAAATTCAGATATCTAAAGTTTTTGAAGTTTTGTTTTAATTATGTTGTTTCTCTTTGTTCTTGTGATTCATTGCTGCTTTATATGTTTTTTATCTTTGCCTATATATACTGCTCATTGACTTTAAAAAAAATTTTGTAAGAATGGTTGAATACAGATTGAGATTGCCTACCTCCAAAGAGATACACTTTAGCTCCTGCCAGGTACCTGGGAATACAATCAGTGTGGAACCATGTTAATTTAAATGAACAACTTGAGGATTTGCGTACCACCCAGGTGATGGGAAAATTGAGGTGCAAATCCATGTGAAGGCTGATTTACTTCTTCCCCCTTATCTTGAGTGTGCGCCCCCAGGGACTCAGCTTAGTAAAGGGAAGTTCTCCTCTCTACTCCCTATCATGGCTGGACACTTTGATTTCTGTCCTCTTTGACCTGTGAGACCATCAAAACCAACGTTTAAATTTGCCTGGATTTTCAGATACCCTTAAGGCAAAAATAGTCCCACTTTCCCTTTAATTTTGGCCAGATAATTTGTTACTCTTTTGTCAGTTCTTCGATGCTTTTTAGACATTTTAAAAATACCTTATCTAGAATTTTTAGTTATTTCTGTGGAAGCGTTGGTCCAAT